GGGGGGGGGGGGGGGGGGCGCGCACTGCAGCTGCGCCGGCTCCTGCCTCGGGGCGCCCCAAAGGGAAGTGGGCGGCCGCCGCGCCCGCCTGGCCCTGACCCTGGCCGGTCCCCTCCCCACAGGGCTCGTCGCACCTACCCCAGCAACTCAAATTCACGACCTCGGACTCCTGCGACCGCATCAAAGACGAGTTTCAGCTGCTGCAGGCTCAGTACCACAGGTGAGCTGGGGGCGCAGGTCCTGCCCAGGGAGAGGTGGCGCCCCCAGCGCAGATGGCAAGAAGGAGGCCTGGAGCGGAGGTGGTGGGCCTTGCTATACACAAAACTTGAAAAAAATGTAGGTGTAGGGTGTCCTATTGTAAGGCGGTCGCGGTCTCCGGCACGTAGCAGTATTAAACTCATTTAGTCTTCAGAGCAGCCCATTTCACAGATAAGAAAACTGGAGGCACAATTTTAAATCATTTGCCTGACTCAGCTGTATGGCTTCAGAACCCTGCTCCCCAGCCCCCCACTGCAATCCCCACTGGATTAAAAACCTGGCAACAACTGGAGTTGGGGTTGGACCTCCTACCTCCCCCAAAGAAAAATAATGGAAAAAGTTCCCCCAAAGAAAAAATTCTTCCGCCTGTTATCTCTCTGCCCAGTTCTGGGGAAAGGATTCCTGGCATCCAACAGATTTTCATTCTCCTTCCAGAATTTAATCTTCTAACGTTTGCCATGTACTGGGATTGGGATCTAAGGGGAAGGAACTACTATTATCTGTAACTCACACTTAGAGAAACCAAGCCCAGAGAAGTTAGGGGTATCTAGGGGAAGCACAGGGAGGAAGTGACAGAACTGAGATGTGCACCCCATTTCTGGGTTGAAGAATGCAAATCCTCAACAGCTCTGTTAGAGAAGAGAGCTTTGCCTGGGAATCAGAAGGGGATCCCCGGCCACCGTTTTCAGCAAGGCCTTGGGCCCTCTCTGGACCTTAGTGGACCCACCCAAAAAGATCTTTCCAGGAGAAAGGGGGAATAGTGATATATCGTCTTTCTTTTTATTTTAACAAACATCCATCCTCTTAGGGTCCTTCCCATGCTCCCAAAGTGTTACATACTGAAAATACATCATTTTACTTTATTTTCCTTGCTGTTCTATTATTGTGCCCCTTTCAAAGATGAGGAAACTGAGGCATTGGTGGTGGAAGGGCAGGCGCAGGAACTTCGCTCTGGTCCCATGATGTGGAGAGGTTAGGGGCTTTGCCTGGCAGGCCTGGCCTTTCTGAGCCCCTGCAGGGGGCCCTCCCCACCTGTCTGGCCCGTGCCCACCTCACAGTGCACTAGGACTGCCGGTCCCTGAGACAGGGTCACGGTGCCGCTGTAGTGCTGTGTCCTTGGGTAAAGCAGATCCCTCCCTACGCTCTGCGGACTCCATCCACTGGCCTGGGCTTCCCACCATACAATGAGGGCTCCTACCATGTTGGCACACAGGGTCTGCAAGGGCCTCCAGAGGAGCCAGAGATCAAGAATTTGGGATGAAATTGCCTGTTGTTGTTTTAAATTTATTGGTGGTTCTTTTTGTGTTTTTGTTGTTGTTTTTTGAGCGAGAGAGAGAGAGACATCGATTTGTTGTTCCACTTATTTATGCATTCATTGGTTGATTTTTGTCTGTACCCTAACCGGAGGTCGAAACCCCAAACCTTGGTGTATGAGGACAATGCTCTAATTACCGGGCCCCACCTATTTTTGTTTGTTTGTTTGTTTTAATCCTCACCCACGGAGTGAGGATATGTTTTCCGTCGATTTTTAGGGAGAGTGGAAGGGAAGCGGGGAGAGAGAGAAGAATATTGATGTGAGAGAGACACATAATGAATGGTTGGTTGCTTCCTGGGATTGAACCTGCAACCGAGGTATGAGGTACATGTCCTTGACCCTGAATCAAACCCGCAACCCTTCAGTCCTCGGGCTCATGCTCTAACTACTGAGCCAGATTGTCCAGGGCTGGGTTTGTTTTTAATGTAGCAACAAATGAACTTCATAAAAAAAACCCGAAAACAAACTCAAGATGGGGGAGTGTCACAACAACCCTAGCCATGGCTCATCTCTGAACTGGGTGTACAGTTATGGTCAGTCTGGCAGCGTGACACACAGGTTCCTGGGGTGACTGTGCGATCAACAGGCATTTATTGGGGGCTAAAATATGCCAGGCATTATTCTGAGAACATTCCTGATTTAATCCCTTTCGTTTTCATCTTCCCACCAGGGAGGTTGGTACTTTTAACAGGCACAGAGACTGAGGCCCAGAGTCACACAGCATCCGAGTCCCAGGGCTGAACTTTGAACCCAATCTGTCTGGATTGAGTCTGTGCTGTCTGACTCCTGGGCTTTCCTGCCTTTCCCCCAGGAGGCCTTCATGGTGGGGGTGGGGGGAAGCTTTAATAAATGCCTGAAGCTCCTCCTTGCTTGGCGGAGCTTGAGAGAGGCCAGGGGGTCCCCATCTCTTATTACCCAACAGTAGAACTTTTACCCCCTGGTGAAATCAAGGCCAGAAGAGGGGCCGGGCCCCATTGGAGATTACTTGGTGAGTCCAACCCAGGGCCCTATGGGTCAGCCCCTGGGCCTCTCCTGGGCCCCTTCACAGTTTCTATTTGTCCTTCCCCTGTTGGAGTTTTCCCTTGTGGTTAGAGTGTGGCTCTGAAGCCAGCTTCCTGGCTCTGTGACCTTGAGCCAGTTACTCAACCTCTCTGGGCGTCCATTGCATCATCTGTAAAATGAGTGATGCTCACAGTACTGGTTTGGGGGATGGGTAAAAGGTTGTTTGAATCCCTGGCTGACCCCACAGGATGTTTGCTCAGACTTGTTATTTTTATTATTATCACTATCGTTTTCTCCACCACCAGATCTGCCAGGCTGGTTTCTTAACCCCCATTGTACAGTTAGGGAACTTGAGGTTCCCCTCACCCTATCCTCACAGAGGAGGTCGTGTTGTGTGTGTCTCCTGTCAAAGTTTGGGGGTAAGCCCAGCCCCCACCCCCTGTCCCATGTTCTTTTTCAGCCTGAAGCTCGAATGTGACAAGCTGGCCAGCGAGAAGTCGGAGATGCAGCGTCATTATGTGATGGTGAGCCGGCTGAGGCCCGGTGGGTGGGGGTGGGGGGAGCCCAGACCGGCCTGCACCACCAGCAGCTGCCGCTGAAACCTGGCCACCTCCTCTGGGAAGTGTGAGGATTCAGGGTCCACCTTGCTGGCCTGGCTGCAGGCCCAGGCGGTGGTGGAGCTGCCAAACCGCCGGGTTGCAGCCTGGGCCTGCCAGGTCCCCTGGCTGTCCTTGGCAGCCGGCAGAGGAGGCAGCGGCTGTGGAAGCCAGGAACTGACGTGGGGGAGCAGCCGGATCCCCGCCCCCACCACCCAGGCATCCCAGTGCTTAACCCCTCCTCTCCCAAGCTTTGGGAAGAGGACTCCTGAGCTTTCCTCCCCTGCCCCCCAGGAGGCTGACACCCTTTGAGGTCGGTGGGAGGGAAGGGGTAACAAGGCATCCTTCCCACGGACATTCGAGAGCCTGCCCATCCACACTGCCAGAATCACTTGCTGGTTCATACCCACCAGGTGGTGAGTTCCACATCAAAAAACCCTTGCCTTGGCCCAGTCTCTAGCCCAGCTCTCCCCGGCTGTGGGGGAGGCAGAGACTGACACTACAGCTCCCAGCTCCAGAAGGAGGGGGCTGGGGGACGCCAGAGGGAAGCCCCTGCTTGGAGAATTGGGGGCATTGCCCCTGGGGTCTTGAAGAATGAGTAGGAGCTTGGGGGGTGGAGGAGGGAGGACAAAGGACTAAGCAAAGGCCTAGGAACCACTGGGCTTTGGTGGCGGGGAGGGTGATGGGAAGCCATGAGAGGGTTTAGAACGGGGGAGGGAGCAGGGTTAGATCTGGGGCTGGGGGAAGGGGGCTCCTGGCTCCAGAGCCAAGCCCAGCAGGCTTTGTTTATCTTCCATTATTTATACCCAGGAAGGCAAACTTCCCTGCAGTCTGGGGCCACCCGCAGACAAGACACATAAAGATAAAAGATTAGGAGCCCTGGAATGTGTGTGTGTGTTGGGGGGGAGGAGGGGCTGGATGATTCTTTCAAAACCAGGGAGCCAGGCTGCGGCTGAGGCCCTAGAGCTCCCTCAGCTCTGGAAGCAGCCCCACCAGGCACCTGGGCCCATTCCGGGTGTGGGTGCCTCCCCCCTCCTATGTCTCCCTCCCACCTGCCTGTCTCCATCGCTCCCTACTCCATGCCTCTCTCTGCTTTTCCCCTGCTCTGCCTCCCCCTTTGTCTCTGTCACCATATCTCTTTGTCACTTGAGCCCCCCCCCCACCTTTCACCAGCCCCCATTTCTTTCTCTTTGTCTCCCCTCTTGCAGTACTACGAGATGTCCTATGGCTTGAACATTGAGATGCACAAGCAGGTACGCCCTCTCGCTCTCTCCATGGCACCCCCAGGCAGGTAGGAGCCCGCCCCTTGGCCGGATGCCAAGCCTGCCCTGGTGCTCCGATCTTGTTCCCTCCCAAGCACCCCTGTTCTTTCTCAGGCCTCCCTGGGAGGTTGTTCTGCCTGAGGAGGAGGGCAGAGGCCTTCCCTTTGTGACAGTGGCAGGAGGGTGACATGTTCTCACACTCACTCACTTGGTAAGACCCGAAGATTGCTTCTCGCCCTCCGGCCTTGCTTTAGCCATCTCTGCCCTGAGGAGGCCACTGTCGAGGATGTCACAGAATAATAATGCCACTGCTCTGCCCTGTCTTCCTCCCACGGAGTGCTCACTACCTACCAGGCGCTGGGCGTCATCTTCCCAGGGCCACCCACATCCTGAGTGGCCGAGTCTGGGTTTTGGACTGGGCCTGCACTGTTAGCTGTAGGGCTGAGCACCAGCCTCAGATCCTGCCTTTGCCACTGATGAGATGCCGGCGGGGTCCCAGGTGTGGATCCCACCCTGGGCTAAGCTGATCCCTCTTAGTCAGAACCCCGGGCCTCGGGCTGGTCTGCACCTGCGCTTGGGAGAGAACTAGGCACTAAAGAGTCTGTGTGTTTGTTTTAGGCTGAGATTGTCAAGAGGCTGAATGGGATCTGTGCCCAGGTCCTCCCCTACCTTTCCCAAGAGGTAAGCTGTGTCCCCGGGGGCTTCAGAGAAGAGGCGATAGATGGGCCATGAACTTGCTCCAGGTCCTCCCCACTGCAGTCACCTGGGCAGCAGTGATCTGGGCGCCCCAGGGCACATGCCTCCCCTCTCTGGACCTCCCAGCTACTAGTCAGCCTGTGCAGAAAAATCCCCAGGCTGGAGAACCCCCAAGGGTGCAGGGCTGGGGAAGGAGGGGCCTCACCCTACTCTGGAATTCCTAGCCTGAGTGAGTCATTTCACTGTAAAAATGTCAGCTATGCCAAGGGCTGCACCAGGAGTTTTTTTTCCTTGTTTTGCTTCTACCTTTCATCCTCCTGAGATTCACCTGCCAGGCCCTGTGGGCTGCTTCACGCCAGGGACAAGCGGTGTGTGCGGGAGGCACTCTGCACACACACGAAGACATACAAAGAGGCAGATGAACAGATGCAACACACAGATACACACGGTGCACATACCCATAGGCACACACAGATACATGTTTGTGCAACAGGTGCAGAGACACGCACACGTGCACAGATACAAACGTGGATATGGACACGGATACACAAGCAGGCACAGCTGCATACACAGATGTATACAGATGCGAGGCACACATGGACACGTCCAGGAGAACCAGGCGCCCCGTTCTTCCTCTTCTATTTTTTGGGGTTCTCAGACTCTTGGTGTAAGACCCGCTCCACAGAGACCCCACACCTGTGCCCCACCCGACCGAGTAAGGCCCAGCTGCCGCTCTCTGCCAGGTTTACTGTCGATAATTCACCATTCCCTCTCTAATCTCTACCCACATCTCAGGGACCTTTAGGGGATGTGTGTGTCTTGGGACCATTCCAGAAGGACACCATGAAAATCCCAGAGAAGAGGGTCTGGGAGCCCTCAGGCCTAGACTTGTGCTTACTTTTCATGACGGGGCTTCCCAGCAGCCAAGGCAGAAAGGAAGACAGATTCTAGCATCTGAGAGCAGGAGAGACTGACTTTCAAGGAGGGGTGGGAATAGGTGGGAGATATTCCCTAAACCTAGACTCATACCCCAGCCCTGCCAGAATTCATGGCCAGGGACAGGGCGTGTGTAGGGAGGACAGGAGCTTGGATTAGCACATCTCCCAGCACAGTCTCTGAGCTCTTGAAGGAACAAGACTTCCCTGTACAGCCCTAACCGGTTTGGCTCAGTGGATAGAGCGTCGGCCTGCAGACTGGAAGGTCCCAGGTTTGATTCCGGCCAAGGGCATGTACCTTGGTTGCGGGCACATTCCCAGTAGGTGGTGTGCAGGAGGCAGCTGATCGATGTTTCTAACTCTCTTATAAGTACCGCGTGCTAACCGATTGCGCCACTGGAGCTCCGATGTTTCTAACTCTCTATCCCTCTCCCTTCCTCTCTGTAAAAAATCAATAAAATATATATTTTTTAAAAAGACTTCCCTGTACAGTTGACCAGGCCGTGCACTGCACTTTTCTTTGCATGTGGCATCATGATCGAAGGTTTCTCTCCTCAGCCAAAGGCCTTTTTTCCCCTAAGTATCTGGCCCCAACCCCTTTGGGTTTTCTGTGCATCTCCATTTGTCCCCATTTTCCAGATGAAGAGACGGAGGCTTGGTGAAAGGAAGCGGCTAGAGAGAGGGGGCTTGCTGGTGGGATGGAAAGCCACGGGGGTTGGGATCGCACTAACAGGCCAGGTGGGAGGAGGGCTTCTCCCAGGCTGACACAAACCCCCTGTGTCCTCTCTCTTTCAAGCACCAGCAGCAAGTCTTGGGAGCCATCGAGAGAGCTAAGCAGGTCACGGCTCCAGAGCTGAACTCCATCATCCGAGTAAGTCTGGGGTCTAGGGTGGGCGGGAGGATGACAGGTGGCCAGTGGGCCCGAAGTGGCTAATATCCCCCCTCCCTCTGTCCTGCAGCAGCAGCTCCAAGCCCACCAGCTGTCTCAGCTGCAGGCTCTGGCCCTGCCCCTGACCCCACTGCCCGTGGGGCTGCAGCCACCTTCCCTGCCGGCGGTCAGCGCGGGCACTGGCCTCCTCTCGCTGTCTGCGCTGGGCTCCCAGGCCCATCTCTCCAAGGAAGACAAGAATGGGCACGACGGTGACACTCACCAGGAGGATGATGGGGAGAAGTCGGATTAGCTGGTGGCCGGGATGGGGAGGGTGGGGGAAAAAGAGGAGACACAAGATACAGAGAGAGGAATGTTCACTGCAAGACAGTATAGCTCGGGATTGGCTAAACTCCGGTAGTATTTATAGTAGCTGCTGGGGCCTTTAGCCCTGCTTGTGTGCCACCCCCCCCTCAGCTTTGCTCTGGCTCCCAGCCTCCCTCCTCCACACCCCCTGCAGCCTGAATGGGTCAATACCTGCTTGTACCACAGATAAGGCAAGCTGAGGCCTGGAGATGCAAATGGGAGGTCAGGTCAGGAGGCAAAACCTCAAGAAGTCTAACACCCCCTGCACTTCCCCATTTTGCACATGTGTAACTGACAGTATGCCTGCTGGGCCCCCGTAGGGCACATCCCAGCCTCCCACCCTGGCACTGCATGCAAACACAATGCTAGCTGCCCCTTCCTGCCCTGGGCACCCCTGTCTCTCCCACCCACTCACCTCTGCTAGTTTCAGATGCTCATGCCCACCTGGTCCTCTCTCCTCCTCTCCTCGCCCACCAAGGATGGAAGTTAAGCCAGGGTGAGCAGGGTGGGGGTGGGCAACCCAAGATTCCCCTTCTCCCTTTCCCGAATAAAGATGAGGGTACTCAAGTTGTCTTGGTTTTTTTTTTTTTTTCTTTTTCCAGTATACTAGCTTGTCTTTTAAGAAAGGGGATATTAAAAAAAAAAAAAAGACAAAATGTTTAAAAAAAAAAGCAACACCCACACCTGTGTCTGTATATAGCCTTTTAGACTGTCAGCTTTTGTTGTGTTCAGTCGTTTGAACTCTGCAGAGAAGTGAAAATGCTGTATCGAGGGTGGGCTTAGCTGTGCCTTTCAAATAAAGATGTGAGAAGGTTGGTTGCTGTGTCCCTGCCTCTGTGTTGCGGGCTGCCTGTGGTTCCCCCCCTTCCCAGGGAGAAGAGGACTTCTTTTATGTCTGGGCTCCCTCCTCTGTTACAGGACCAAATATCGAGAGTCCTAGATGAGTCCATCTTATAAGTGTACTCCCTAACTTGATGCATAGACCAGAGAGGGTCAGCTGGAGGCTGCAGGTCACACAGCCAGCCCAGGTGCTGGAGGTTAGCAGAGCTGGTTTCTGATTAGCAGGCCCGAAGGCCCCTAAGTGACATTCTTTTCCCTTAGAGCAGAAGATACTGAGACTGCAGAATCTACTGTGCGCACACACATGGACCCTTTTTCCAGATCAGAGAATGCAGACCCCCAGCTGAACCTGGACCCCGCCCCCACAAAGAACAGATGGAAGGTCCTCCCCTTCCCCCCCTGCCCAAGTCAGCCCCCCCCCCCCCCCCGAGAGAGAGCCATAAGGAAAGATTTCCTGATGTGGACTTGGGTGGGCATCCCAAATTTGCAAGAGCTTTGCAAGGACTGTATGACACAGAAATCCCACCCTCAGGGAGCTGGAGCACCCAGAGGACTTTTTAAAGTGCAAGGAATTCTCATCTGCCTCCCTAATCCAGGGGGTTCCCATGGGCAGGGGGCAAGTGCACAGAAAGGGAGGCAGGATGATGGGTGGTGACGGCCCACTGGCCTCGGGGAAATGTCTCATGTTGCTAAAGAGAAAAGGAGGAGAAGGAGAGGCCAGAGGAGACCGGGTAGTCACACCAGCCTCCTGCTGGGCCCACCTCTCTCACTGTAGCCAAAGCACCTCTGAAGAACACCAGTGTGATAGGGTAACTCACTGCTTACTATTCATCCTTGTGTTGAAAACCACAAATCACACTTGGGGAGTGTAAATTGTTACATCTATTTTGGAAGGCTGTTTGGCACCCAGCAGTGCCCCTATTAGACCCATCCCCCAACAGACATGCCACTTGAGTCTGCCAAAAGACACCAGAGTGTTGCTGAAGCCAGTTTGGCTCAGTGGATAGAGCATCGGCCTGCGGACTGAAAGGTCCCAGGTTCGATTCCGGTCAAGGGCATGTACCTGGGTTGCGGGCACATCCCCAGTGGGGGATGTGCAGGAGGCAGCTGATCGATGTTTCTAACTCTCTATCTCTCTCCCTTCCTCTCTGTAAAAAATCAATAAAATATATTTTTTAAAAAAAAGAGGCCAGAGTGTTCTGGAGGTGAGTCATCATTGCCCCAAACTGGAAATTACCAGATGTCCAGTAACAGCAGAACACATGAGTTGTGACATAGTTGTGCTGTGGAATGTTACACAGCCATGAAAAATGTGCTATTGCTACACTCAACACCACGCAGCTCTCATACATAATGCTGAACAAAAGAAGCTGGGTACAAAAACAGCATGGTGTGATTCCCTCTATATAAAGAACAAAAGCAGGTCCAAGTGACTTCATCTGGTTATCCCCTTGAGGGGAGGTAAGAGTGAAGGGGATTTCTAACAACACTGGTCATGTTTTGTTTAACTTGGGGGGCTGGTTACCTATGTTCACTTTGAGATAATTCATCGAATTGTTCACTTACAATCCGTTTGCTCTTTTGTGTGTTATATTTCACAATTTAAAACAATGACTTAAAAGAATAGATTATCTTTGGCCTCCATAGCCCTCAAAATACATTCTACGTTTTTCACCTAGTCCTACTTGGCAGGCCTTGCAATCTCTTCTTCAGCAAACTGCAGCCAGGTTGAAACATCTTGCTGTTCCTTTGCACATGCTGTTCCCTCTGCCTGGAACAATGTTATCTTTTTTCCCCTCCCCAACATTCTAATCCTCCAAGACTCCCGGAAGTTACTTTCCTGCAGGCCTCCCCCTAACCTCCCCCCACCTTGAAAAGTGCTTAGAGCAGAGCCTGGCCAGTCATCCATTCATTTAGAGACCCAACTATGAGCCCCAGAGACACCGCAGGGAACAAAACAGACACATATCCTTGCCCTCCTGGGTGGAATAAACAAATAAGGGAAATACAAAATGCATCAGAAGGCTTGTTGATAGAGAACAAAGCAGAAGAGGGATGGAGACTGTCAGCATTTTTTTAAAAAAATGTGCACATAGAAGCAATGCAATACATGTTAGCAAATGTATTGAGGGCAGATCTGGGTTTGTACCCCCTCCTACCCTAAGTAGTGATTTGAGGCATGAAGTCACTTGTCTGATCCCAGTTTCTGGGAAATGTGGGGAGAATTAGCAGAAAGCTGTCGGTGATATTATCACTGATGCTGCTGGCTGATGAGGAGCCCTGTGTGTGTGTGGGGGGAGGGGGGGTGTCACAAACCCGACAGCCCCCACCCAAGGGTCTTCTCCGAGGAAGGTGGGGTCCTGCTGAACTAAGGACAGATCTGTGACCTCGGGGCTCCCTCTCGGCCTCGGAGCCCCCCATCGCCCCCATCCCGCCTGCGGGGCGGGTTCCCGGTGGGTTTAGGGAGGGTCCGGGAGGCCGCCGGGGCGGGGGTGGGTGGGTGCGCGATCTCCGCCGGGAAGCCGGGCAAGAGGAGGTGCCATCTCCGGAGCTTCCTCCCCGCCCGAGGCCTCCCGCGCTTAACGACGCGCCGCCGGCGAACCTCGGCTAATTGATCTGCTAATGGGCCCCGCGCCGAGGCCGCCGCCTAATTAAGCGGGAGAAAAGGGAGAAGGGGCCGGTAGGAGAGGAGGAGGGGGGGTAAGGGACTGGAGGA